ATATTTAATAAAGATACAAGTTATATTTGTCCTTCTTTAGTTTAAAAATGTTATCAGCATGTCCAATTTCATCACAATAAGCTCAGTGGTTTGACCTTGACAACGGACAGACATACAAACAGTTTGGTTTGGTTATAATTGAATAATGGCAACACTGTTCGTCATATACGTCACGTTCGTCATTTGACACGTAATGTCACTCAATTGTTTCGGTATTATTGTCATTATTTCAGACTCCACGAGTAATATTATTTAGGTATTTACTTTTTAATTGAAATCTGAAAAGCATATTTAGTCCATAGTAATTTTACTTGTAGTCTATACTATCGATACTAATATTATAAAGAGGTAAAATTTGCAAGTTTGTATGTAGGGGGTAATCTTTAGAACCGCTGGTCGGATTGTCAAAATTTTCGTCACTGATAGGTAGTTAAAATGTTCATGAATGCTATAGGCTATAAAACATCACGCTACGATTAAATGGAGCCGAGCAGCGGGTGAAACCGCGCGAGAGTTGCTAGTTTGAAATAATAATACCTACTACAGGAAAAATATTTAGTTTTGGTTCCGCAATGATGTCGATTTTTGTTTCCTCCAGCCCCAACAAATACATAAATGAAAACGCAAAAGGGGTACAATAGAAAAACACACAACACACACTAACCCATTCTATGAGAGCAGGGGGGTCATCCTCAAATTCTCCCGCTCTGGTTGGGGCTAGAGGGAGTACTCTTATAGACTTAAAACCACCCGGTTCCTTCTCCTGCTCCAGCCCTTGGCAATGGTAAACTTTTGCGCTTGATCTGCAAATCGTCTGAACATCAGCCCTATAGGGCCCTATCTGTGGTGGTCTATTGGGTCTTTGAGGCGCGCGCGGAACGCTACATGCCATACGCTTGGGTCTGGTTCTAGTCAGACGGCGAGCTACCCTTACTCGGTGTCCGGATATCTGATCTGACTACACTTTTGCCTCCTTGTTCCATAAAAAACATAGCATATTGTTTTTGCTGCGAATTTTAAATAATTTCGCGCGCTTTCGGGGCGCCATTTTGCAATTAAAATGTCACTCTAATATTGACGTATGTAAGATGGCGGCGCTGACGCGTCCTAGCAGCGTGTTTACTTCATAATTAAAATCCCGTGTGACACCTCTGAAGTGGAGAGTTTGTTTGATAAACTTACTAGCTATTCATAACATACCTATAAGATAACTTATATTACCTATAGACGTAGTTAAAAGTGTACTTGTAGTGTTATTTGCAACTCTTTACTAAGTGTGTAAGAGCCATGCTTCTGCTCGAATGGGTCAGCTTTTATTTATGATTGATGGTAAAGCAATCTACTTCGCCCATTTATATCAGCAACACCAGAGATGTTGCAAGTGCATTGTTAGCCTTTTGGGGATAGGTAAGGGATTTGGGCGGAATGGGGGAGTGGAATTTTTCAGGCCGTGCTATCACTATTATATCGGAATCAACCAACGATAGCATTGTCGATCTCCGGGGAGGCGGCGAACCTCCTTGCCGGATCACCGCCGTGGGATCTAGAAGCGAAGGCGCTCGCGCGCGTCTACAGTTTGCGCGCAGACGCGCGTCGCCGGGGCGAAGATCCTCTGCCGCGCCAAATTAGTGCGTGGCGGAATGAGCTCCGGCGAGATCTCATGGCAGAGTGGAAACAACGACTGTCGCAACCGAGGGCCGGGCACGCTACCATAGCAGCGGTAAGACCCCTCTTTGAGGAGTGGCTTGAGAGACGCCACGGCGTCCTCACCTTCCGTCTGACGCAGGTGCTTACCGGGCACGGCAGCTTCGGTAGGTTCCTGTTTCGGATTCAGCGGGAGGAAACGCCCGAGTGTCGTCATTGTGAGGACCACCTAGAGGATACGGTGGAGCATACGGTAGCGGTATGCCCTGCCTGGGCTGAGCACCGCCGTATCCTCAGGGAAGTGATCGGCGGCGGCGACCTCTCGCGCCCGGCCTTAGTCGCGGCCATGGTGCGGAGTGAGAGGAACTGGGACGCCGTCTCCTCCTTTTGTGAAGCAGTCATGCTCGCAAAGAGAGAGGCGGCCCGCGTGAGGGAGCAATCCTCCTCCTCACGCCCCAGCAGCCGCAACTGGCGACACTACGGGCGTCGGGGATCGAGGGACGATCTCCGGCCACCGTAAGCACGGGCCTGCGGTCGGCGTGTAAGGGCAGCTCGCCGCCCGACCAGAACCTGGCCCGAGCGTACGGCGCGTAGCGTTCTGCGCGCGCCTCAAAGAGCCAATAGACCACCACAGACGGGGCCCTAAAGGGCTGATGTTCAGCCGGGGTTGCGGGGTAAGCGCAATGAGGTACCGCGACCTCGGCACAGAGCAGGAGAAGGAACAGGGGGGTTTTTAGTCAGTAAGAGTCTGACACTCCCTCCTGCCCGGCCCTGGGCGGGAGAAGTCATTTGATGATTTTCCCCTCACAAAAAAAAAACGGTAGTATTGTGTTTTGAAACGTGAGTTAGGTAAAAGGATAGTAAAAGCATAGTCCTTACCCTCTGTAATATAAATGAAAGTCATGGATCTTGGTTTCCTTGGGTTTTATTTCAAAACACACAATCACAACAGGTCGCGCTCCACAGTTACATTGTCAAAGTACAAGAGATATACAAACTACACTACATTATGACAGACAACAGAAAACAACGGAAATTACAGTGACGTACTAATCAGTGATTCTACAATACCGAAGGGTACTCTTGCTAAATACCCAATCCTCAAATCATTGCAAACGTATTTGCTAATCTGGCATTGCGGGCGTCCATGGAAAGTGCAGAATTCTTTCATACAGATGATCCATATTACACGTTTGTTTTTTTATTTATTTATAAAAACGTTGCCCCACTTTAGGATTTTCTCGCGTCGTGGGTGCTTTTACAAACATACAATTTCACATACACAAGACACCCAGACCCGGAACAACAATTTGTGGATCATCAAGTGTGGGAGAGCCATGCTTCGGCACGAATGGGTCGGCTCGACCGGAGTGATACCACGGCCTTACAGAAAACCGGCATGAATCAACCACAGCGTTGTGTTTCGCCGTGTGAGTGAGGTTACCGAAGGCCCAATCTTTCCCCACCCCCAATCCCTCCTCAATCCTTAATTCTCCAAATCCCTAATCCCTAAAAGGTCGGCAACGCACTCGTAACTGCTCCGTTGCGGGTGTCCATGGGCGGCGCTGATTACTTACCATCAGGTAATCCGTCTGCTCGTTTGCCGATCTATTAAATAAATTAAAAAAAAACACAAAGAGTTGTTCCGTGCGGGACTCGAACCCGCGACACGTTGCACGGCAGCCAGTTGCCCAGCCACCGCACCAACCGTGCAGTAAAAAATGTTTAATTTACACTAAAAAGAATCGGTCCGATCGCTAGCAATTATTTACGAAACAAAATCTACAATGACGAATATTTAAAGTAATTTTTTAAATATGTTTAAGTTCGTTAATGTGTCGAAGTAAGTTGTTAAAGGTAGATATATATGTTATTATTGAGGACGCAAGCCAAAAGCTAGATTTTTAATAATAATCATAAGGAAACCAGACGCAATCTTCCCACTTTACCTATGATAAAATGTAACAGTGTAATAGGGAATCTCGAATTAATATTTAGTTCTGGCAGAGTCGCACCCATTGCCCCATAAAGCCATCTATATTTATTCAGTAATGACGTCAAAACTGACCACACACAGAGCTAGGGTTTGTCCGTGACTTCTTCTACATTCTGGATTTTAATAAATTAGGTATAAGGCAGAAGAGATTAAAAAAAAACACCATCCCTATTTATTCCATTAATTCTGTATTTAAAAAGTAATTGCTTTAATTTAGCAGTTATGTGCGTTTAATTTCGTACTAGCTTTTGCCTGCGATTTAATCGCGTGGAATAGTGACTTCCTGCAGGTTTTTGGTTTAAAAACTATCCTATGTCCTTTCTCGAGTTCCAAACTGTGTATACGTACCAAATTTCACACAAACAGGTTCAGTAATTTAGGCGTGAAGAGAAGACAGACAGACAGAGTTACTTTCGAATTCATAATATTAGTTTGGATGTGATAGGACGTCAAACGACCAGAGAGATTACCTGATGGTAAGCAATCAGTGCTATGGACACCTGCAACAATGGAGGAGTAACGAGTGCATTGCCGGCCTTTTGGTAATTAGGGTTTTGGATATTTAAAGATGGGGAAGGATTGAAACAATGAAACAATGAAACAATGGATTCACTCACTACACGGCGAAACACATCGCTATGGCTTTTCACGCCGGTTATCTGTGGCAAAGCTTAACTCTGATTACTTTCTTGGAGTTTATACTTATTGTAATATTAAAATAGTTTTTCCAATCTTCCCTACTTGGCTCTTAGCCATATCCCATCGTTACGTGGTTTGCAATACAATCCATACAATTTAATACATTACCTACTTAATATGGCCATTATCCAGAATATATTATGATTCTATTCTACTCTATATTTAATGTTGCCAGAACGGTCACTAAGTTTTAAAAGTGAGAGAACTAGTTTTGGCACGATCTGGCCGGCTCTACCGGAGTTATACCACGGCCTTACAGAACAACACCATAGTATAAAGGGAAGGGCAGTAGGCTATCTCCGGCCCAATCCGTAATTGCCTACTGTCTTAGGGTTGTCACTTTTAGCAAAATTTTAATTCAGTGCCTATAAATTGGCAAAGGTCGGGCAGTTGTATTTTTTACTTGTATAACCGGGTACAGGCTTTGTAAGGTGTGACTCTTTATGTCGCTAAATGGCACAGGCGGTAACATAGACTAAAAACTAGTTTTAACATTATTTTCTAATTGTATTTTTATGGCATAATGTAGTATTTTTACACATAAAGGACTTTTGCAAGTATAATTTGACGCGCGAACCTCGTGCAGTGTTAGCCACGACTGGCGCACTGAGAAACGGGTCGAGATTTTGTTACAGTGTGCGTGCGTCGACGCGTAGATACTATGGCGCACACATATAAGCCGCGCGCGGTGCGTTTGTATGAAGATAACCTACTTCCTTACTCTTTATACTATGACAACACTTACGTTGTTTTGCCGTGTAAGTGAGGTTATTGTAGGCCTGAACCTTCCCCCCCCCCCCCCTTTCATCCTCAATCTCGTAAATCCTCGATCCTTAAATCCCTACTACAAAAGGCCATTCACGCACTTGTAACTTCTTTGATGTTGCGGTTGTCCAGGGCGGTGCTGATTGCGTACCATCAGGTCACTCCTGCTCGTTTCACCGACCTATTCCATAAAAATCTAAGGAATACTTACTTAGCTTTATCATTAATATCATTATCTTTGAGCTTCTTCTGTTAATTAAAAAAAAAATAGCCCAGCACTAGGTTTCTATCCTGTATCGTGGTTGCGGTTACAAACATACAAACCCACACATGACACGCGAACAACAATTTGTGGGTCACACAAAGAGTTGTTCCGTGCGAGAATCGAACTCCCGACACGTTGTACGGCAGCCAGTTGCCCAGCCACCGCACCAACCATGAAGTCAGGCAGTATATTTGAGTTAGTACATTTTTTTTTATGTAGTAGGTCGGCAAACGAGCAGACGGATTACCTGATGGTAAGCAATCAGCGCCGCCCATGAACACCCGCAACGGAGGATTTACGAGTGCGTTGCCGACCTTTTAGGGATTAGGGATTTGGAGATTTAGGGATTGAGAAGGGATTGGGGGCGGGGAAGGATTGGGCCTCGGGTACATATCTACATCTCGAAATTTATTGAAACTACTACTATCAATTCACGACGGGACTCTTATTCATGACTTGAAACTAGTAGGGATTTTATCGTAAGCAAGACATTAATTTCATCATCATCATCATCATCAGCCTATAGGTGACCACTGCTGGGCAAAGGCCACTTTTTTACATGGAGAAGGTTTAAGCGTTAATCACCACGCACATTGGCGATTTCAAACTATAAATCGAAATTATAAGTCCATGTTTCCTCACGATGTTTTCCTCCACCACAATATGTCAGTCATGTCTAAATAATCATAGAAAGTACATATAACTCGGAAAAAGTCACTTTGGTACTTGCTTGATTTGGAGCTCGCTTTCTAAAACTTGAGAAGCGGATGCTTAACCTCCGGCCCACAACGGCATGAAATAATAGAATAGTTACTGTTCAAAAAATACTTATATACTTATAGGGTTCTGAATTCCAGCTAAGTGTAATATGATTAAAAGACTTGGATCTTGGATACTTGACTTTAATATCACAGTACACAGTCGGGCAGCTCACTGCACCAGAGTTACATTGTCAATGGTCGACACTCTCTCGGCCACCTTATTTATAGTACAGGATGACAATGACACTGACAGTTCTAGTGCGACAATGATTAGTATGACTAATTACAGATAATACAACACTAAGGTCAAGATGGTTTTATCATAAACAACACTTTTATCCCCCTAAGGATTAAGCAAAGGTGTACCATATTATACGATTTATAACTAACCCCTTGCAATAGGGACGACCTTTTACATCTTCCCGAATGTTCTGATAATAAAACGCAGCATTTTATGAGTTAGGTTTGGCACAGTCCCTTTGGTATTTTGTTAAGGATACGAATTGTAGGTTTTCGTAAGTGTGCTGCAGTTTTTTTTTATGATATAGTTCGGCAAACGTGCTGACGGATTACCTGATGGTAAGCAATCAGCGCCGTCCATGGACACCCCCAACATCAAAGGAGTTACGGATGCGTTGCCGACCTTTTTGGGGATTAGGGATTTAGAGATTTAGGGATTGGGGTAGGGGAAGCATTGGGCCTCCGGAAACCTCACTCATACGGCGAAACGCCGCTGGTTGTTTCACGCCGGTTTTCTATGAGGTCGTGGTATCACTCCGGTCGAGCTGACGCATTCGTTTCGAAGCATGGCTCTCCACACTTAAAACAATAGCCTAACAACTATTTTTTTAATTTGAAATCTTTTATTTCTGAATTTGATTGACAGACCTTTATTTACTGAAATATGTTGTAAGGATTCTAGTAGGTTCGCGTCAATATCACCTTCATCATTATCCACAAGTGTGGAAGAGCCATGTTTCGGCACGAATGGGTCGGTTCGACCGGAGTGCTACCACGGCTTTACAGAAAACCGGCGTGAAATAACCAAAGAGTTGTGTTTCGCCGTATGAGTGAGGTTACCGGAAGCCCAATCCTTCCCCAACCCCGTAATCCGTTCCCTTTCTCAAAATCTCCAAATCCCTAATCCCCGAAAGGTCAGCAACGCACTAGTAATTCTTCCGTCGTTGCGGGTGTCCATGGGCGACGCTGATTGCTTACCATCAGGTTATCCGTTTGCTCGGTTGCCGACCTATCACATAAAGAAAAAATAGGTTTTAAAAGCTCATTATTATAATTTTTACATTATTGTAGCCATATGTGAGAACAATGCATAGAACAAGTTGTTAAAAAAACGAAATTTTTATCCTTTATCGTCTCGAACATGGCGCTCACATAAATATACGTATAAGAATAATAAAATTATTGTTTAATTCTTTTCCAGTTTTGCTGATGTCCTGGTTTGGCGTGGATCAAGTGAAGTCCAACTCATGTATTCGAACCGGTAATATGTCGATAGACTGCCGCTGTGGTGGCAATGTGACCAGTGTTGTACCATAGCGTACCCGTTGTTAGATCAGTGTCGTGTCCACAGATGGGGAAATATCGATATGTGATTTCACATCACTATTTTGTTGTTCGAAAATTAAATATAAAAAGATTTTAAATCAAATTGAAGAAAAAAGAGCATTGTTTTGTCATTTCGTAAAAAGTAGTTACTTTATATATTTTTTGCATTTAAATACTAATTAGAAGTTTAAACTTTCTCAAGCTATAGCGACTTAGTGTGTCTTTACCTCTGAATATATGTTTTCGGGGAAGAAAAAAGTTATTTTTTTTTTTCTGTAACTCTTTATAATTTTTTGTCGTACCTTGACATGTGTCGTATAAAACGTGTACGTATAGTGATGGGGAATTATCGATATTTTCACATCTCGATAAATGTATTGTGTTTGAGTGCCCACGGGAATGCGTGTTTAAATGTTGGAATTGAGGAATGCAATAAATGCATGCCATAATTATTTTTAGTCACAAATCTACCTAGACGAATTAATAAATACTAAAATTTTAAATTTAACAAAAAAATATATACACTCAAACATTCTCTTTCCTGTGAATAACTGATGTTTTTAACAGATTTGTGTAATACATTTTATGTTTAAAGAAATTATAATGGCCGCTGCTAGACTTTTCTGTCAAAAGTGACAGTTAGTTTTTTTTTGTTTTTTAATGTTCAATGTTCATGCCAACCAGTCTATTGACATGAAAACACAAAAATACATACCTATGTATTTATTTTTTGTTTCTCGTTTTTCTTTACTCAGTTATTTGCAGGATAAATATTCTTTTCTACTGTGTAACTTCTTCTATTTAGATAACTGTGTAGTGTTTTTTGTTTTTCTTATATATTTTTTCTTTTTTACTAATTCAAGCATGGATTTTCAGCATTTTGGGCACTAAGTCTGAGCCCCCTTGTACAAGCCGAATGCCAGAGTAAGTACTGATGATTTCTTTAATTTTTTTACTAACAAAATGATATCTCATGAGCTTTTAGGCTTTTAAAGAAATAAAATAAAAAAGCTAATAAAAGCTAAGTATACTCGCCAGCTTTTATGCTTATAAAAATGATTAAAAAAAAGTTTTATTTTTCTACTAATACAATACATACTATATTGTCTTAGACTGGATTGGCAAAAAATAAGCAGAATTTATTTTATTTATCACAAAGTAAATACATAAGTAATGACAGCTTTTTTGTTTTATTTTTTTTCATTTTAAGTTCTTTTTTTTTGTTTTTTTTTTAATTAAAAAAACATATGGCAATAAGTAGGTAACATTAACTGCTAATCATTATAAATATAAAAAATAAAATGTAAGTAGGTAACAATAGATAAATTTATGTTTTATTTAGTACCTATATTGTATCTTTTGACTTTTTTTCTTTTGTAGTTGTGTGAGTGTTAGTAATTAGTAAATGTATGCTTTTAATGTTTTTTCTATGTTTTCAATACATTTAAAATCTAATTATCTTTCTTTCCATGGATTGGTGATTTCTGTACAAAAACTATGTATCAACTTAGTTGGAATATTAATTCGGTTCAATATGCAAAAAAATTAAAAAAAATATAAAGTTTTTATAATTATTTTGCATATCATTGATATCATTGATCAAGTATTTAAAATGTAATTGAATCGAACTATCCAACATGTCTTCGGTAGAAGCTTTGACAAATTATAGCAATCACTAGCCCCTTATAATAAAACAAGATTTTTCTTTAAGTTTGGTCTAAGTTTAAACCATTGAGTTAGGTTTTGTGTTTTGAATCTTCTTCTCTTCTATCTTCAATAAATAAAATACAAAAACTGGCTCAATGGTAACTTAGACTAAAGAAAAACCGTGTTTTGCAATAACAAGGCCGGAAATGTTTACAAAAAATAACCAAGCCTGTCGAAATCTATTTGGAAAATACTTAAAAAAAAACACTACGATTTTCTTGGAAATGTTTTTACCTATTTCTTCCATTTTTGTTGAAGTTTTCCAAATGGTTGGACAGGTGTGATTCGGTGTACCTAATGTTAGACAGTTTTCAAAATAAAACTGTTTTAACATCAAAAAGTTAATGTTTGTTCTTGTATATTTGTTATTCCATAGATCTAGTTCAACGGTAAGTGTGAATCATTTGTTTAATCCATTCCACCGATTGAGCTATAAAAATATTCTTTAGGCGTAGGTCACACTACAAATTGAACTGCTAAAAATAAACTCAAGAAGATTAATTGAAATACCTAATCTTTGCTGCGATAACTTTTTGAACATCCTAAATTCCTTAAATTGTGGACAAAATTGTAATATATCTAATATAAAATCATTTGTTATTCTTGTTCTAATAATAACACTCGCCATTTTGCAATGAAAATATGACATTCACTTGCACTCTCTTTTTAAACTCTACAGCTTCATTCCACAATGCTTATCAATCAAACAACATTTCATACACATACATAGCTGCTATAAAACCTACTCAAAGACACTCTTAGTTATTAAACCCTAGCTCTTGCTAGCGGCTTCGTCGACAGCACCGGTATACTAGACTTCAATCTTTCTCTGTGCCAAATATCGTTTAAATATTGTTCAGTACTTTTAAGTGAAATAGTAAGAAACATACTAACGAATTTTCGTGTTTTATCGTTAAGTCACCTAAAATCTTAGATTGGGGATACCCGAGCTGGTCTATTTAGAAGACCCGGTTGCCACCGGTTTTGGTTTTATAAAGGTAAAACACTTAGGTACTTTCTTTCTCCCTAAAAGCTAGAATCGCATTAAAGGTTGCCTTTCATATTAACAAAAAAGGCATCATAATACTGGAAAAATAACAGCTTCAAAATCATCCTGTTTGATTTGAGTTGGAACCCAAGTGTCGTAGAGGTTGGGTCAATTATAAATATGAAGTTGCCAGTCAATCTGCGTATTAGATTGATTTAAAAATATTGTTCCATTTAGTTAATTTATATTGAGAAGTGAAATATTTACTATTTGCAAAAAAAAAAACACCCAATAGGCTTAGTATTTCACGCATGATAGGTTCGCGAACAGACCAAGACTACATTATTCCAGCGTTCTTTTGACCTGACACGATCTGTAATTCAGCATTCAATCTAGCAGCCACTTCAAGCATCGAAGACAAACGATCTGACAAACAGACAGAAAGACATATAAACCAATATCAAAGATTTCACATCACATGGACATGGCATATTTATAAATCTGTGAGATAATAGCGTCTTTATTTCAATCATATCTTCTCAAATCTCATGATAAAACGACAGTTTCAGTGTGTGTTTGTTCGTTACTACATTACACCAAACGGTTGAACGGATCTGGATTTAAATTTGGATGGGAAACATAAATTGTAGTCTGGAAATTGTTGTTTTGTTTTAGTTTTAAAAGATTCAGGTTTATAAAGAAAGCTGCTGCCTGATCTCTGTCTAATGTTTAGGAGGGCATTATCAAAATGTCTTCTGCCATCATAACACAGATCGTCTTCATATATCTATGTTTTCAATTGTAAATAATATTGAAATACTTGCTTCCGAACGCAGCTTTCCCCTCGTGGTAGCTGGAGTTTCGAGGTAAGCGCAATAAGGCATCGCGGTCTCGGTCTAGAGCAAGAGAAGGAACGGGAATTTTATGAGTCAGTAAGTCTCTCACACTCCATCTCACTCTACCCTGAGCGGGAAAGGGCTGATGTTCAGCCGGGGTTGCGGGGTAAGCGCAATGAGGTACCGCGACCTCGGCACAGAGCAGGAGAAGGAACAGGGGGGTTTTTAGTCAGTAAGAGTCTGACACTCCCTCCTGCCCGGCCCTGGGCGGGAGAAGTCATTTGATGATTTTCCCCTCACAAAAAAAAACCCTGAGCGGGAAAAGTCCTTTGATGATATTCTCCTCACAAAAAAGGCCTATCTGCATACCAAATTTCAACTAAGTCGGTCAAACCATTTTTGCGCAAAATAATAAGAAAAATGTTAACTTTCACCTATATAATATTGGCAGGATGTACAATTTGAACGCGGACAAACCCACAAGCTCATCTAGTGTGTACAATAAAGACGTAAAATAAAAAACAAGAAAATAATAGGTCGAAGTTATGACGGAATTCAGTCGAAGACGATTCATCTAAAATAAACTAGGTACGTTCCACGGTACCATGATGCTAAAACCGTCGTCGCGACGTCCCGAGGTAGATTACGACGGCGACGTGTGAATTAAATTGTTAAAATTAGATTTTAAATTAATGATCTTTGTACAAACGATCTTTAAATGTGTAATTTATAACTTTTTTTGAAGGTTCTGGCTTTGTTTTTCTTAGAAATATTGACTGTAGTGCGTTTGGTCTTGTAGTTTTAATTAAAATGTTTAACATCGTCGTTAAAGCTATTGGTAGTTTTGAAATAAATAAAATTGTTTACAAAGGAATGCCTTCTTTAATTGCTAATAAACGGGTCACAAATCGTTTCAAAAGTTTTCGTGCTGATACTTCAAAAATATATTATTGGACTGGAATAACGAGATTGATATCCGTTACTTACCTATCACACTTTTGCTCCTACTTAAACAAAACCTGAGAACGAGACCTAAACCGCGAGAAAGTTAGGTACCAAAGACATAGTTGTTCAAAATAATAAATAAACAACTATTCAGTAGGTATACAAGTGGTTTTAGTAATTTAGTAGGATTCAGGATTCCAAAATGAGTAGGTATATTAATATTGACAAGTACCATATCCACGAAATAAACACTACATATTATTATTTTAGGCAAAATTTTAAAATTCTTAGTTATTTCTTACTTTTAAATAAAAAGAGGATAAAATAAGAATTGTCGTTAATTCTTTTCAAAAATCCTATTGATTAAATAAAAATAAAATAAAGATTTATCGATAAACCAATTTAAGACGTGGTTACATCACTAATCTAGATAATGACACACATGTAGGGTTGCGCCGCAAATATCATAATACAATTAGTTTTATCGATTGTTTGTCTGTTGTCTCATCCCAAAGAAAACAACGGAGACAACAAAATTATTATTAAAGGTTATATGTACTCTGTATGTAATCTGTTATGTTCAAGTATTTCATATTAAAGGCTGAAAAATGAGCGGCTATTAATATGTGAACATTAGCTCATGACGATACCTAAGTACGTGTGGCCCCTGGACAGTCACCGCTACCATCAGTTGACTGGACATCTACGCTACATGAGCTGCTGGTTACATGTGAACATTAGCTCATGACGATACCTAAGTACGTGTGTCGCCTGGACAGTCTCCGCTACCATCAGTTGACTGGACATCTACACTACATGAGCTGCTGTTTACATGTGAACATTAGCTCATGACGATACCTAAGTACGTGTGTGGCCTGGACAGTCAACCTCGCTACATCCTTGTTACCTGAACAACCCAGGAGTTCTTAATGACAAGGGTATTAATGAAAACACATTCTTTGCGTGACGAACAAAGCAGTGAATGACACGGAAGACACGTTAAAGTGAAGTATGGCATTCTTAATTAACGTAAGGGGCTGCCTTGTGTGGGAAGGGGGATCTTTGTACACTATTGAAGCTGTTCATTACTTTACCGGTTTGTTTTTGTGAGAGGAAAATCATCAAATGACTTCTCCCGCCCAGGGCCGGGCGGGAGGGAGTGTCAGAATCTTACTGACTAAAAACCCCACTGTTCCTTTTCCTGCTCTGGACCGCGGTCGCGGTGCCTCATTGCGCTTACCCCGCAACCCCGACGGAACATCAGCCCTATAGGGCCCCGTCTGTGGTGGTCTATTGGCTCTTTGAGGCGCGAGCGGAACGCTACGCGCCTTCCGCTCGGGTTCATTAGTATGGTAGAGTGATATAAGACGGTAGTTTATAGTTTCTTAAGATTCTTACTGACTAAATTCCACCCCGTTCCTTCTCCTGCTCTAGGCCAGAGCTGCGATACTTTATTCCACTTGCACTCCCATCTCTAGTCTGGGACAGAGTCTAGGACAGAAAATCTGTATAACCAAAGTTGAAGGAAAAACAAAAAGGATTTGGCTTATTAATTATGACCGCAACTTATGCATATTTCTGATCTTTTTCAAGGAATAATAAACCTAAATAACGTAGGTATTAAAGCGTAAAAACTGTTAAATCGTTATTGAGAGCAAGTAGATCTATTTTAATAGTCTAAAAATATATTTATATTATGTTGATCACGTCATTCTTATATTTTGTCGCCTCTCTGGTAAAAATAGCAAGTCTGTTGTCGATCACGATTTAGCAAAGAGGTGTGGAACGTGCATGTCCTCATTTCTTAAAAGAACTACACTTTTTAAAGAAAACTACTCTCATTTAATTGTGGGAAAGGTATACTTCGTGACAGAGGGAACGGCTTACTAAATATGAGCGTGAGAAAACACAACTACAACACCTACCTGCATTGTTTGTTTTAAGTGTGGGAGAGCCATGCTTCGGCGCGAATGGGTCGGCTCGACCGGAGTTATACCACGGCCTCACAGAAAACCGGCGTGAAACAACCACAACATTGTGTTTCGCCGTGTGAGTGAGGTTACCGGAGGCCCAATACCTTCCCAATCCCTAAATCCCCAAAATCCCAATCCCTAAAAGGTCGGCAACGCACTCCTTCTTTGTTGTGGGTGTCCATGGGCGACGCTGATTGCTTACCATCAGATAATCCGTCTGCTCGTTTGCCGTCCTATTACATAAAAAAAAATGTATTTCGCCGTGTTAGTGAAGTTGCCTGATACTCAAGTCTTCGCCCTCATTCTTAATCCCCATAGCCTCTATCCATAAATCCCTAACGGCTAACAAAAGGCACTTTTAATTCCTTTGTCCTTACGAGTGTCCATGAGCGGCGCCGGTTGCTTACCATCAGGTTATTAGGGGGAATTATTACCGATCTACCTCATTAAAAAATGGGTATAAGTAGTGTTAGATGTATATTATTGATTTTGATACAGTATCAACTAAAGTTCTTTAACCAGTTTTGTTTATTCAAAAATCATTTATTTCAATTAAACCACAGTAGGCACTTTTGAACGTCAAGCAAGGAAAAAAGTATATAACAAGAGCTTTAAAATTAAGCGTGTCAGTCTGTCCGTCTGTCCTCTAGTGAAGCTATTTGCTCGTTCCAAAGTGTAGATTCCTATGGAGAAGAACGAGCAAGAAACTCCATGGTTACTCTTTTTCAATCAGTTTTACAATACATTTCTTTGTTACATCATTTAGTCGGTTCTGATATGTGAATTAAATTAAATATAAATTACGAAGTTGTGGACGAAATATTTTCGTCCACAACTTCGTAATTGCAAGTGCTTAAAAATGTTTCCAACATCTCTTAAAATAATAATAATAATATTAAATATCGAAAAAACCTCTCCTAACACTTCTCTACACTCTAAAAAGTCAATCAACATTACCTATCAATATCATCATCTTTCAGCCTCTCAATAACTTAAATGGCATTATTAAAGAATGTTATCCACCAAAAAAAAATCTCTAAAATCGCCAGGATCTCTTAAAACGCCAAAACAATACAACTATTCTGGACTGGAGCATCCAAAAGGACAGGTCATATCAACTGGACTGAAACTACAAAGCGACTGAACCACTCGATACTTCAGCTGGCCTAGTGACCAACAATTTAAAGCCAGACATGTAGGCACCACGCTTATATAATCACTAGCGCCATAGGCGATATGGTGCACAACCCCATTTTTTCACTTCCAACGTTGACTAAGTGGTACAAGGACTACGAGGTATCCTTGACATGCGTCGCGTGTTTAGCCAACCTTGCGATTTAGCACCCCTGTATAAATAACCTAGGATTTGCTTTGCAATAGAGGGTAGATGCTATCAAGTAGCCAACAAGTTAGGGCTGTTCAGGTTTTGAATCGATATGTTGCAGTCGTTTTTAGTTTTGATTATTTTCTTGTTTGCAATACGTAGGTACCTATCGTCTAAAAAAATGTGTTTTATTTCGTATTTATTCGTCTTTGTTCTATAAGCCTTGGTCAAGCAGCTTCGTCCGTGTGGAATAATTAAAATAGTAATATATATTTTTTGAAGTAGGTTTTGTTTCTTTATTATTACACGAAAACTGCTGTCTAAAAGTTCTTTTCAAAAGCGAGTCGATGTAAATAAACTATAAAAAGAAACGATATTTTATCTTTTTAAAAAGTAATCGGAATCGGAAGAATGAGAAAGGTTAGGTATTGGGCCTCCGGTAAAATCACTGACACGAAAAACAACGCTGTGGTTGTATCACGCCGTTTTCAGAGACGTCGTGGTATCACTTCAGTCGAGTTTACCCATTTATGCCGAAGCACGGCTCTTCCACATTTATCAAAACTAATATTATAAATGCGAAAGTAACGTTGTCTGTCAGCTGTATTTTCTTTACGCCTAAACTACTGAACCGATTTGTGTGAAATCTGGTACAGACATAGTTTGGAACTCGAGAAAGGACATAGGATAGTTTTTAAACCAAAAATCTGCAGGAAGTCAATATTTCACGCGGACGAATTGGATTTGTTTAGAAAAATAACATAAAAAGCAGTTAATTGAAATTAACAAGATGTTTAATTTTATGACGGAACGCAATTAAGAACAGCTGGTACATAAAGTAAAGAGATCTTTTAAATGTATTTCACAGACATTCGACTAGGCTAGATATACTATATACAGGGTGTAAAAAGATACTTAACGAAGCCGTTAACTACGCATACTGCAGTTCTAACTAAGTAGCTTTACGCTAAAATTATCACTGGGAAACGACTTTTATATATAGGTATAAAAAAAAATTTATTGCGCGCAATGTAAAGCAAACGGGCTTCGTGTCATTGTGTGCGTAGGTTCACAGCTTAGCATTAAAACGCTGTGATAAGTACGTAGGTCGACGTTTATCTCCGCAACAACAAAACAATTCTGTAAAATAAAAATCCTACTGAGATGCACGATGTTTTTTGTGCGGGTCTGCATTTATTTATTACGTACATTACTGTTCGTAACTTCAAATGCGTAATTTATTTAGAAAAAGCGAAAAATCAGGTAATGTTTGTTTGGAAAAAAGTTTTGTAATAATACCTAGAATTCGATGCGCAAAAAAATAAAATTTTAAAATGCATCTTTGCTTCAATATCTCGAGAACCCGTGGATTCCCAGCTATGGTCTTAAAGAAAAAAATGATTCAAATAATGGGTAGAATACGTGGCTTTCGGCTTCGTTAAGTGTCTTTTTACACCCTGTATAGATATACTAGGTATAATAATTTGAGTAAAACTATTCACACATTCACCACTTGTAGGTATCAGCCAAATAGCACGCATATAAATTGTAATACATTAATAGAAAATATTTATTCCGCAACGAAAATAGCTTAGCGTCCATGAATAATAATCCGAACTTCTTATGACATCACGAAATACCTACTCAATTTTGCACGAATCACAAACATAATGATATAATAACAATCTTTATTCGCTAGATAGAACATATCGCCAACACCTCTATAACAAATATAATTATAATCGCAAAACAGTAGCGTATTTTCCTATCGCTCAATCATTAGAATTCATCACCAAACAAAAAACCAACACTTATTTGATTGCATTGACACACACACTAAGCACACAAAATCACACTTAAAATCCCAATCGCAAATAGTCATAAGGAATCCCCAACGAATCTAAATCTCAAACGATCCTAAATCTCAAAAAACCTGTCCACAGCCCGTACGATATACTGTTACGAGTGTGACAGCTGGACGGATCCAAGATGTAAGGACCCCTTCAACTACACAGCGTTGCCCAGAGACCAGCCACCCCTGCAGACTTGCAACGGCTGCTGCGTGAAGATGGTGCGGTATTCAAAAAGTCGTAAGTATGCTTTTTTGTATTAATTTATTTATAAGCTCACAAAAAATCTATTGATATGGGTTCCTTTCTACAAGCCAAACCGCGGAGATGCGGAACTAAATCAGCTTAGGTGCACAAAGCAAGCGTAATCTGAAACAATTATCGACAAACTTGGGTTACCGATGTTTAGCCAGGATTGCGAGTCAAGCGCAATATATACCGCGGCCTTGGCCTAGAGCAGGAGGAACAGCAAGATTTTAGTCAGTGAGAGTCTGACACTCCCTTTCACCATACTCTGAGAGGAGTCAAGGGCACAAGAAGTCATTTGATAACTTTCCATCCTTAAAATGCAAAAAAAAAATCGCGCGCATGTCCAATTCGCACTTGGTTGGTTTTTTCACTGATGGTAAGCAATCAGCATCGCCAATCGACACTTGCAAAGCCGGTGCAGGTCTCTAGTATCCAATAAAAAATCGTTAACTAAAGAAAGGCAGAGGTGTGTTAAAAGAGTAACTTTTTCCTGTTTATTTTCTAAAACAATTTACTAAACTGGTTCTTTAAACTCCATTCCGTTTTGGCTTCTTGCCAACTATTAGGAGTACTTTGTTAATTTTTGGCAATCAACTCGTAAACCTGTTTGTCATTCCACGACATTTTTAATGGGAATAGACCATCTTTCATTGTTTATGTTAACGGTCTTTGAACTGGGGACGTCACTAATTAGTGTTGTCAATAACTTCTTAAGCTGGGTTATCGATATCGATGGCAGTTTTACGGCGGTTAGAAGATTATAATTATTTTAATGATGTATCTTTTAAGGTTTTGACCGGAATATTCCAGACATCGACGACGATTAATCTTCTTAGTTAGTATTATACAATATTGTTACATAACGACCAACAGTAACAAGATAAATATGACGCCAGGTGTGTGTGTGTGTTATACACACATAACACATTATCAGCCATTTTTTATGTGATAGGTCGGCAAACGAGCAGAAGGATTGCCTGATAGTAAGCAATTAGCGCCGCCCATGGACACCTGGAACGAACAGAAGCGGTACGAGTGCGTTGCCGACGTTTTGGGGATTAGGGATTGGGGCCGGAGGAGGGGTGGGGGCTCCGGTAACCTCACTCACACGGTGAAACACAACGCTGTGGTTGTTTCAGTTCGGTTTTCTTTGAGGCCGTGGTATGACTCCGGTCGAGCCGGCCCATTCATTCCAAGCATGGCTCTCCCACACTTATTAATTTTATTTTTTCTCCGTTTCCAGCATACGAGGTGGTTCGGCGAACGTGTACATCGCAACTTCAGATAAATCTATTCATGGTGGACCACGTGTGTATGATGGAAAGTACTGGCACAGGCCACATGTGCTTCTGCGAGGAAGATATGTGCAATGGCGCGCAAACACCGGTCGCAGCACTGGCCTTGGTCGCAACACTAGTCGCATGTGCATGCCTAAGGTGAAGTAGGCGTAGTGACTGCCCCGAGCGGTCGATTGTCGAGCTCCGATGTCGATGACTGACTAATATTGTCTGTTTTTCACTTTCATATGACGTTATAATAAAATCGACACGTCGAGACAATATGAAATCATCGATGTCGATAAATTGTATTAACTGACAACCCTATGTCGAAACTTACTATCGATATGCGCGATCGAGGTAGATTTATCGATGAATCGACAATCGATCGACTGTACCTTTGGGCCCTACCCTAGCTGAGATTTAATTACATTTTTCGTCCAAACGTAGCTGTAGTTTAGTCTTGTGGTGCTTAGTTTTTACAGCACGCCAATTAATTCCTGTCAAGCCGCATTCAACAATGCTTAGCTCGACATTTTTGAGATCATAGTGAGTACAATCTTTGTTAGAGCTCCTCGATTTTGAGGCAACGAATTATAAAATTACGAAAGTTTAATGTAGATTTTTGTATGAAAAAATATAGTTGAGTGTATTTTAGGAGTGAGTCTTAAGACAAGCATTCACGAGAGATTCTTTAAAGCAACTTAAACAACAGATCTCTCTTAAGATAAAAGGTACAAAAGCGAGTCGAGAAGCTCAACAAAAGACCGAAATAAATAAATCATAAAAGTAAAATAGTTGAAAAGCTTGAAGCTTACCAAGTGGTGTTAAAACTAAGCACGTTTTTCTTCTAAGGCTAATCTCATGTTCAGCAGTTTTTGCTCTAAAATTATTAATAAAGTTTTCCTGGATTTAGCATGTACATAAAACGCAGTATAAAAGCGATAGGTATAAAAATGAATAGGATATGGCGAGAGTGAGAGTGCTAAAACTAGATGGCAGTGTTTCTTATAAACGAAATTGTGAAACACTGCCATCTAGTAGGTTTTACGAGTTACTAATTTCTCCTGCGAACGCTTCTGATTGGTCCAATTATCGACCAATAAAATTTGCTCATAGTTGCACCTAATCTTAGAAGTGAGCACCAGTAGATAGATGATGAAATCGAAATTGAGATGAAACTAGCAAGTACTGCCGATAAATAGATGAATAGTTATCGATAAGGACATCAGATTGGTGATATCAGTTCCCGAGATTAGTGTTAAAAAACGGTTGTGTTTTTATTGTCTTCAGAAAAGACGTAGGTAATTAAATTGTCAATTCAGTTTTAATTTTAATTAATTTTAGCTTGTATCGTCTTTGTGTTGTTTTAAAATCCTGTACAGGAGTAATATTTTTTAAGCGACACGTAACGGATGTTCATCGATATCGATATATTTGTGAAATGTCCACTTCATTAGTTTAACGGTTGCGTTTAAAAACAAGGATGTTAAAAATGGTTATCGATAGTTTTCAACAAACGTATATTTTTCTTTAGTTTCGCTGTTGTCGTAATTTTAAACAAAAACTCGTTAGCTAGAAAAATATTTAACTCAAAGCGATTTATTAATGCATTAATTTAAAAATATTAATGTTCCTACTTTTTATTTTTGACATATCTAGGTAATTATTTTTTCATAATCTGCAAGTGACATAGATATATAAAAAGAGAAAAAAAAATAGTAAAAAGTATGCTAGATTATAGGGGGCAACATATAAATTTTGATAATTGTAGTGTAAAAATAAATAATTTTATGAAATTAAACACCAAATACATTTTAATCATTACATATAAGTTATTATTATGAATAATATATTGTAGGGTACATTATAAGCAATGAGTGCTTGGTATTGGCGGGTTCGACGCCCGCCATGCAGCACTTTGTGATTACAGCAGTAATACCGAATATAGGGCGGGAATTTTGCGTGGTAAAATTTGTAGACAGAAGCAATTTGGAAGAGAATTAGGTTATAATTACTTCGGGTTTGGGAAATCGTAAGGCATTCAGTTTGAAATTGATTGTTTTAATTTGACTTCGTCAAAAACGTTTTGTATGACCTATTGCTCATGTTTAAGCTAAGAAAACCTTTTTTGTCATTTTGAATGAAAAATATCATGAATCACTCACGAATAGGCTTTGACTATACTTAGTAGGTTTCAAAATCTTTGCGAGTACCTTTAAAAAAATGTTAAAGTACAATATCGGTAAATGTCGGTTTGTTTAGGATAAGTCATTTCATAAACTGAAGGTAGATGGCGCCGATTTCAATCTTAGTTATTCTTTTGTTTATCGGAAAAGAAATAATTAATTTAAATTCTTTTATTCTTTAATCAATTTAAATACATATTATTGAAAAAAACAAGAAATAGAGATCTCAAACTGTTATAAATATAGCAAGCCCCTGACGCCATCTAGCGGTTAAGGAAAGCAACTTGATGATACCGCGTAAAATTCCCGCCAAAGCCATAAGAATCGAGAGTGATATAATAATAAAAAATTAGTCGCGAAATATTGTTAGTACAAAATATATTTTCAGCATAATTTTGCTAGAAATAGAAAAATAATACCCGAAATAGCTGAACAATGAGTATTGACTTATGTTTTATCGCAGTACTGTTATGGGTTAAGACCAGGAGTTATTTTTATACCAATGATGACGAGGATATGAAAATTTTACAGTTCCATATAGTCTTAAGACATCATTATTACAACAGTTTCTAGACTTTCACTACTGTGTAAGTACAAACCTCCACCAAAATAATGATCAGGAGCAGAACCTTTTCCGTCATTATTGTTGACTATTGAAGTGAGGCATTTAAAAAAAAAATTGACATCATTCCTATTCAAAGAAATAAATACAAAAGGATAGACAATGTTTGGAAAAAATGGAGAAAGAAAAGCTAAAGATATATAGGAAATTGTTATTTATTTAATAATGGTACGGCGATGTACGATTTGACGCTCGATAATAAAGAAATAAAATTCTTGCTTTTAAAAATGATAAACTTCGTTAATTACATAGATGCTAAAATTATCACTGCTAATATTGGCATGGACATATGTATATTATTTCCGAAACTTCAATGAAGAATATAAATATTGTAAAATCAGTGATCACAATATTTCTATAAGTTTTCTTTTTTGTTAATTATATGAGATACGGTAGTACCTACATATGTAGGCAAAATCTATAGGCAAATCTATAGGCAATGCAAAAACGGTCAGTCGCTCATCTAGACCTAGATATCCAAGAACGAAGCGAGAATTGCTTTATTAGGCACGAATCCTTAAACAGGAACAGTACTGCGATAAAAAACGAAACGTTTATAAATAAAATTTTATAAAAGTCACAAAAATATACATTTTTATTATAATCCACGCTAGCCAACGCTGAGACGCAATTTATATACATTAATATTATACATTTAAAAATAAAATTATACAATTTCACTTAAAAATCGACGTGTTGACGTGTATAACAAAGTTGATGTCCGATGTTGATATATACCGGCTGAATATAGCAATAAAATAAAGAAATATAGAATTATTCATTAATAAATACTTGACTTCTAAGAGAAAATGTGTTTGAAAGTTCAAATATACTCTATAATAAGCAGACAGACTTTAAAAAAACGTGAGAAATCGTTGGTAGTACTTTTCATAAACTTCCTTCTCTCTTCTAATACTCTTCTATACCAAATTATTTACTGCTTTACCTATGTATTCAAAAGTATACTCCTGTATCACAGTCCAAATATGCTTTCCGCTGATTGAGGGCGACAAAAGTATATCAATTTAATATGAAGAAAAGAGACAGTGCTACGCTTGTAGCTTAATAGAGACTGCAAGGTTTGTCTGTCCGTCCTACAACCCGATGTCTGCTCGAGTCAAGCACATGAACAGTTCTATACTTCTTTATTTACGAAAGTAAATTAGTTTAATAGTTAGATACGGGTGCAATACATGATGAGCGAATCTTAGTGATATAATTTGTTACTGGTAATTTTAATAGTAGCTCGTTAATTGTGATTTTTACGACGTCTTAGTTAAGTAGCACGCTTAGATTTAACACACAAATATCTTCCTGAGATAATTAAGAAATATTTAGTGGGATATTATGAAATTTTGCGTTTTTATAAACCCCGAATAATGTATTGTAAGTAGGGATTCTTGATGTCTTTGAACATGGCTTGTTTTACAGCTTATGTGTGGGTGGAATACAATTCATGTGACCCACGATTATAAGCAATATTTGCAAATAATTATTTCCTATTTGCATTCAAAGTAGAATACGCTAGACACGATGAGTTTTAGTTAATGGTGGTAGGTCAAATCGGGTCTCAGGGATAGCTTTCCATATTTCAGGTTCAAGTTATTAATTCTAAACATAATGAGTAAGCCTTAGTATTATGCCTTTAGTTTCCTGGGAAAATAAACCGGTTGAAGATTAAGTATGAAGTATACATTGTTATATATTTTTAGTGAAGTGGCCTGAAGTGTCTCGAGTCGTAAAAATCACAATAGCGACAAATTAGGCTGTATTAAACAGGAGTGCAAAGCATATGATAGGTATTATAAATATGTAAATTAATTAATAAAAAAAAAACAAATATATAAATAATAATAATAATAACGACCGTCATCATTATGTACTTCCTAAAAATTGTTATTAATTATTTAGTAAATTAAAGTTAAAGTAATTCCTTTTTATATTTCTTGCATAGGTGTGTCGCGAGCGGATATTGTTTGGGTTATTAAATTAATGTTAAGAGATTGATAAATTATGAATATCATAGACGATAATTATAGTTAAGAAATTAACCCGCCCGTGACCGCTGATTGTTTTATACAATTTGAACTGCTCAACTGTACAAATTACAAAAAAAAACCAGATAAATTCCACGAAAATCAAAATTAATTTTACAAATGAAAACGCCAATTTGTTTGTTGATACAAAAAAAGAAACATAATTTGGTCAAGTATAAGTAGAGTAATAATGATCAAATTGTATAAAACATGTCAGTGACATATAAGAAAATACAAAAGTAAAAATAGATCCTAAACAATGTTTGCTTGTACACGGAGAAATGTGCTGATCATTCATGACATAACATTGCGTATCACTGC